ATCATTCACAGAAACTATCAAACAGTTATGAATCACAATGCATTATTTCACTGTATCCTGTAAGAAGACATACAATACAATTGACACTTAAGATATTGTCCTGATTGTGTTTGTAAGACGTTTGTGCTAAGAGGATCAATGATCGATGAACTTGTATTTAACTGTGGATTCACTGTAAACGGAATAAAACCCACGGTGAATAATAATAATGAACAAAAACATAAGCATGAGACCTGTACGAATAATTTAACAATTGACACCTGAATAAATTACAAAACAAAATTCCAATAACCACGCATAATTAAGAACTCATTATCAGTAATCCTTGACGCAGTTTTTCCCATTAATTATGCAAAAACTTTGCTTGCAGATTCAACAATCTTTGATTAAAACTCTGAAATTATCAAATGAATTTTAAGAGAACTGAATATTTACTTCGATAGGATTCTGTGCATCACAACGGTTGCTGATATGAGAAATAACAAATCTTTGTCATTATGACAATAATATCAAAATTACCAAAAATTATGACACTATTTATGGAATATTATATTGAATAACTGGATTTGTCGAACCTCACAATTACTTCTGCGAAATCTTCCACAAAGAAGTGATATACTGGATTGAAACGACCGAGTGCGAGCTTTGCCAACGCTTCAGTTCCACTGGGAAACCAATTTCACTGGCGATGCATCGTGATGCTTTATGAAGACTGCAGTTTTTTCGAAGAATTATGAATGAGAGTGAATCAGTGATACATCTGAATTGAATGAGAAGCACACGGAGACATTACGGAACTGTAGTGAAGTCAGCAAAATTAGGTTTGAGAGTAATGAAACACGATGGGAATGTGACGTAAAAATCGAAGAGAGAATATGATGAATGAACAGAATACAGGAGAATGGCTCATAGTGAAAGTAGATGTTTACAACTTCATTCATGCATTACTTACTTCTCTATGCGACTTTCATCTCATAGTCTGCATGTGATTTTTACGTCCAATTTCCATGATGTCTCATCACTCTTATTCCTGGCAATACTTGTTGTATTACAATTCCATGATATCATGCAATTTTTCTCATTCATTACAGCCATATCACTGATTCACTCTCATTCATATTTCTCCGGTGAATATGAATTCCATCGATTTCTTCGCGTTGCATTTTCAGCCGAGTTATGTTTTCATTGCAAGGAAGCAATTGGCAACTAACGACCACCGTCTTGTGTAGAGACTAGATTATCGCTTGTTTAATGCGCTTGAGAATAATCTTGGAATATCCACGAGATCTTTTGAAATGCTGTTTTATTGTTTACAACTCGATCGTCAAGTGATACGTATTGGCCGTTTTTGGTGAATTGTTGAGATGTTTTTACCGTATAGCAATCACTGATATGTGTAAATAATTTATTGTATCGTTTCTGACTTCAGAATGCGCCTTTGTAGTTGAGATGCGAATTAAATTGTTCTAACATCGTTCTAAAATTAATCCATTCTTTGTGTCTTATTGAGTTTATAAAAGAGTCTATGAATTAATTCGTTGTGTTCATAAAATTAATTAATTCTTTGTATTGTGTTGAGTTTATGAAAGAGTTTATTAATTAATTCGTTGTGTTCATAAAATTAATTCTTTGTCGCTTTCGACTCTATCGTGTTGTCTTGTTAAGATTCGTGATGAACATTCGTTTGATTGAGTGATGACTCTAGGGTGAATACGAGCAGCGAGATGTACGGCTCTGCTCAAGGTACATCATCAACACAATCGGCCGGTGTGAACATCGCTGTCGAAGCCGGGCAGGAGTGGCAAATTCAAGAGATTGGCTATGATGGGGTCGAAAAATATATCAGGTAAATAAAGAGCCATTTCACAACCGGGCTTGATTGATTACTTCCCATAGTCGAGGGTGTTCACTTGATTTTCAGGCCTCCAACGTATTCTGATCATGTTGCAAAAATGGCTCATAAAGTGGACTGGCGTAAATTAGTCGGCTCAGATGCATCGTACGACAATCCGAATGCGTTGACACGAGTGGAGAGCAGCGATAAGAGCAGTGAGGAGGATGCTGACACTGAGGCTGCGTTATCTGAAGAAGTTGAAAAACCGAAACTTGAAATGGACGATCGAAAGGTACCCGATGCAGGTCCGTGGCATACGGTCGCAAAAAACCTTCAGTAAGTGAATTATTTGATCCTTTTTGGAATTCAGTGCAGCAATAATTTTGCCGAAACGATATAACTGACACCAGTCAAAGTTTATAAAAGGCTCTATATTGTTCAATTTATTCTGGTTGAAACGTATCTATAATTTTGCATCTTTATCGAATTTTCAAGCCGTCTGAAATTGAAGAAGATGTACCGATCACCACAAATATTTAGAGATACCGATGACTAATTGTTTAGACTCTACGTATGTGTTTTACCTGTTGAAGGCCTAAGCCGAATACTCTGCAACATTTTGCATTTCAGTGAGGGTCTTCAACAGATCAACGTGCTGGTGGATACGTTGGCTGTGCTGAAGATGCCATATTTGGAGGCGTTAACCGTGATGGACAGTTTCGAAATGCTGCACAATATGCACGATGTTGTGCAACAATCGAAAATGTTCAACTGGGTCGCTAAACGCAAATCCCTGCTGGAAGCAATCGCAGTGCTTGAACAGTCACAAAAGCTGCGTCCAAAAAGTGACTCAGAAGTGGAATCCGATCGAGAAATATTCTTTCGTGAACTGAAAAAAATGCGTGAACAGTGGCGAGTACGTAAAACCGGTAATGTTGTCTATGGGGATCTTGGCTATCGTATATTTGGCTCTAAATACAATCCCAGTGAACTGTTCGATATCAGCCGAAAGTCGTTAGCACTGCCGTCGCCGACAAGTGAGTGTGATTCGTCGTCGGCTGCCAGATCGGTACTGCAAGTTCAAGTGCCGTGTGATCTGATACGACGATCCACTATTGCGGTTTCGATTGAGGTGGACGATATGCAATCGAAAGATTTGTTTGCAACCGCGGAAAATGATTTGGATTATATGCGGGTGGAACGCGAGAAAGCCACCGAAGTGCATTGGTCGTTGGCACTGCAGTGGGCGCAGGAGAGTCTGATTTGTCGTGATATTTTCAATGAGTTGAGTAAAGAAGCAGTTCTGTTGAAAGAACACATTGCGATGGTTCGAGACGGCGTAATGGTGGTGTCGTTGTTCGACAACATTCTACTTCGTATCGAACTCTCATTGCATCCGTTTCAAGAGGGTGATATCCCGCAAAAAGGTGACGAATACTTGAGCAGATGTCTGCGGGAATTGTTCGTCAATGAGCAATGCACACGATACGTTCGGCATCAAATGTTTATCGCGATGCCGTTGACAACATTGGCCGAATCGTTGGATCTGAGGGGTCCGTATGCCATGAGTGCACCAGAAACCGAAAGTCGTAACAGACCGAAACGTCTGCTTTTGGAGCAGTTGATGTCGATCGCCGCACACTATGTGTTAACCAAAAAGGTCACTTCAACCCTCGAACGGTATTTGTTGCGGGTCAGTGATCCGCAAGTGTCGTGGAGTTGGCTTCGTTCAACGATGGCAATGTCAGCCATCATTGTGACGGCATCGAATCGAAATTATGATTATATTGGCAAGACAACGTTTTATATTCGAATTGAAGCCGATGAATTTTATGTGATGACAAAAGAAGGGCAGCGAATTGATTGCAGACGAGATGAGGATATGCTCACTTATACGATTGAATATCAAGTAAGTTTTGTAGTTTATTTTCAATTCGTTCTTGATAGATCATTAGTGATCGTGAGTTTCCGTGGAATACGTTATCGAAGAAACTTTATGAAGTGCATTTTGACTTGGAGTTATTTAAAATGAGTTTGTGATATACGACTGATCAGTGAATTGAGCTGATTTGTTGAGAAATGGATTTGAGTTACGAGGAGATTGTTGTTTCAGATATGTAGTTATATGCTGAATTCGGTTGCGATGGTAGTGGGTAAATTATGGCAATGGCAAGTTCTTCACGCGAATATTAATGCTATCGACGATGAGGCAGAGCCGAGTCCAACGCTTTACATATGCAATCAAAGTGCTACACGGTAGGGAATTTAATTTGTCTATCGGTTCGTTCATTTACCTATTTATCTGTTTATAAAAAAGTTGTTCGCCTTCAGAGCAATCTTCATGCAGTTCCACATGAAGACACCACCGTCGATTCGAGTTCGGAAATGTTCTCCTGAGAAGACGGTGATCAATGATGAAAGCGATAATTTCATATTGTTAAATTACAATCGTCTTATTGGATCGTCGTTGTGTAGAAAAGTTGATAATTTATGCGCGATGCTTTCCAATTGATACTAATTCATTTTTGTCGTATTCTACTTGATCATTTCTCATTTGTTTGTAAAATTATAAATGATCTCACTGACTTTTCGAGGTGTTTCGTTGTGTTATGTTTGTTGCTGATGTTGTTATTGCTTATTTTTGTGCCTTCCATTATATAAATTTGCTATTATTTGGGTCATATTAATCAGTTGGACTATGCGTTAATCTTGGGTTCTCTACACGATGATACAGTGCCTATAATCAAATGAGTGTTTATGTCCCGTCAAAGCCATCGTAGGTTATTACTTTACTGGTCATGCAGATCGACAGGCTTGAAGTTGTTGTGACTAAAAATTAATTAGTTATTGCTTGTTATGCCTCATTTCAATAGAAAGGCCAATAAATTTCACCGAAAATAAGCGAAAAACCTCACAATCAGGAAAAACTCTAAATAGAATAGATTAAGTCACATATTCGTCGTTGTCCCTCAGTTGTTATTGTATTATGTATGATTTTCTTATATGTACTGAGCAGTTTTTTATTTTATGTAATACATCAATGATTTATTCGGATAATGAAATCCTATGTAATCAGTAAAATGAAAGACAAGACAATTTAAAACTAAACTGAATGAAGCGAGTGAACTGCATGGAACAAAGGTCGGCAATTTGGTTTACAGCGGGCCAAAATTTTTCCGAGCAACTGACTGGCGGGCCAACACATTTTTTCATTGCTTTTTTTTCCTTATTTTTTCGAACATGTTTTCCTCTTATCTGTAGGCTTGGGCTTGTCACAAAAATTGTGAAATAGTCCAAGCAAAGTAGCTCCACAACGACGTGCGCTGGTTAA